AAGGAGGAGAAGAGAGCTCTTGGTCAAGAACAATCACGACACAGCAGCAGAAAGCAGCCTTGACTGCGCTAATAGCATGTCAATGTCATAAGCCAGCGGAGAAGAGGCCTGGAGCCTGGTAGAGAAGCTTCTGTTGAGCCCAAACCCAGATTTCACCAGAAGGGAAACTTCTTAGGGAGCCAGGCTGGGGTATGGATGGTTTGGTAGAGCTAGCAGCACTTGAAAGATTGGAAAAATGAGAGGGCAGGGCTTGCTTGGGGGTTTGTATGCCTAGAAAACAGATTATGTGAGAAGAGACCAAGGAGAAGAGGACTAAAGATAAGCAGAAACTGAATGACCCCATGCTCTGAACCATTCATTCATCTCTTCACTCCTCTACTGAGCTTCACCTGCGTGTCATGCAGAGGCCAGGTCAGCGGTTCTCAAGCTGGGCTTTTGGAATTACCTGAATCTTAGCTCAGTGATAACTGGTCTGGGTGTGCTTTGGGCATCAGGATTGTTAAGAGCTTGGGAGGCTCTAATTGTAGTTGATGTTGAAATTCAGTAGGCTGTATGATGGAGATAAAGAAAAAAAATTTTTTTTTTTTTTGAGATGAAGTCTCGCTCTGTTGCCAGGCTGGAGTGCAGTGGCGCGTTCTCGGCTCACTGCAACCTCCACATCCCAGGTTCAAGTAATTCTCCTGCCTCAGCCTCCAGAGTAGCTGGGACTACAGGCACACGCTACCACACCCAGCTAATTTTTATATTTTTAGTAGAGACAGGGTTTCACCACGTTGGTCAGGATTGTCTCAATCTCTTGACCTCGTGATCCACCTGCCTCAGCCTCCCAAAGTGCTGGGATTACAGGCATGAGCCTCTGCGCCTGGCCAAGAAAAAAAATTTTCTTTTAAAAAGATTGAGGCAAAGACATTCCTGGCACCTGGCATGTACAATCAACAATGCTTTCTGAGTGCCTGCTAGGTACAAGATACAGTGCTGAATAAAATATCAGAGTCTCAGCCCTCATGAAGGTTCAGACTAGTGGAAACAACCGAAAATAAGTGAGTGGTCAGACAGAGAAGCTTTTCATTACAACATGAGATACATGATATGGAGGGAACAGGAAAGATTAAACAACAGCCATAAATGAAGACGATGGCTCCTTAGATTGGCTGGTCAAGGAAGAACTTTTTTCTTTTTTAACATTTACTTACATATGTACATATAAATGCATACATATATATGTACAACTATCAACATAAACTGCCATCCCCAAAAGTTTCTCATGCTCCACTGTAATTTTATTTTAAATTTTACTTTAAGTTCTAGGATACCCTTGCAGAACGTGCAGGTTTGTTACATAGTATACATGTGCCATGGTGGTTTGCTTCACCTATCAACCTGTCATCTAGGTTTTAAGCCCCACATGCATTAGGTATTTGCCCTAATGCTCTCCCTTCTCTTGCCTCCCACCCTCTGACAGGCCCCAGTGTGTGATGTTCCCCTCCCTGTGTCCATGTGTTCTCATCGTTTAACTCCTACTTATGAGTGAGAACGTGTGATGTTTGGTTTTCTGTTCTTGTGTTAGTTTGCTGAGAATGATGGTTTCCAGCTTCATCCATGTCCCTGCAAAGGACATGAACTCATCCTTTTTTATGGCTGCATAGTATTCCATGGTGTATATGTGCCATATTTTCTTTAACCAGTCTATCATTGATGGACATTTGGGTTGATTCCAAGTCTTTGCTATTGTAAACAGTGCTGCAGTGAACATTCGTGTGCATGTGTCTTTATAGTAGAACGATTTATAATCCTTTGGATATATACTCAGTAATGGGATTGCTGGGTCAAATGGAATTTCTGAGTCTAGATCCTTGAGGAAGTGCCACACTGTCTTCCACAATGGTTGAACTAACTTACACTCCCACCAACAGTGTAAAAGTTTTCTTATTTCTCCACATCCTCTCCAGCATCTGTTGTCTCCTGACTTTTTAATGATCACCATTCTAACTGGCATAAGATGGTATCTTATTGTGGTTTTGATTTGTATTTCTCTAATGACCAGTGATGATGAGCTTTCTTTCATATGTTGGTTGGCTGCATAAATGTCTTCTTTTGAGAAGTGTCTGTTCATATCCTAGGAAGGACTCATTGAGGAGGTGACATGAAGCCAGCACCTAAAGTGCGAGTAGAAACTGGCCTTGGAAAATCTATGGAAGAATCTTCCTGACGGTGGGCACATGCTGGCTGCACGTGCTGTTGCTGTCATTGCTGTCTTAAGGAATAGGCACATATTCAGATTCCATGAGGGAAAATGGTGTGTGGGAGGGACTTTAATGTGTTTATAGGCTATGATGTTTTATTTATCCGTGTGTGTCCAGAATCAAAGATGCTTGATTATAGTTGTTTTATAAATGCCTACTGAATAAACAAACTGATGATAGTATAGAAGAAGTTGAAAGGAAAGGCAATGATTGATGAGTTTTCCAGAGGAAGCGGGGAGAAAGGGAATCTATAGTACACAGAAAAAGAGGTACCTCTGGGGTGGGAGAGGAGGAGTGGAGAATGGATATATTTTTCTGGTGCAGAGACAGGAAATAGAATTCCCTTCTGATAGCTACTGTGTTCTTTTTGGGGGGAGAAGAGTTTGTTTGCTGAAAGCAAGCCAAGTGGGAGTGGGATCAGGGTTCTAAAAAGGTGGGAAGAATTACTTTGCATAATCAGAGAAGTAAACTGGCTAGGGACATTTGTTTGAATTGAGGTGGTGCCAAGTGCCCAGCTAGGGCTGTAGGCTAGACATCAATGGTGGTGCCAATGGACGTGATTTTGGAATCATGTCTAACTCTAGCAGATAGCTATATCTTGGGTGGGGAATTTGCATGTGAGTATGACAGCGGCAGGACTAAGAAATGAACAAATTGAAGTGAAAGGAGAGACAGATTGAAATTGATATTAAAGACTAGTCTAAGACATAAAGGAAGTATTATCAAGAAGAAGTTGAGGCCAGACGCAGTGGCTCTTGCTTGTAATCCCAGCTCTTTGGGAGGCCGAAGCTAGTCGATCACTTGAGGTCGGGAGTTGGAGACCAGCCTGGCCAACATAGTGAAACCCTATCTCTACTAAAAATACAAAAATTAGCTGGGTATAGTGATGGGCACCTGTAATCTCAGCTACTTGGGAGTCTGAGACAGGAGAACTGCTTGAACCTGGGAGGTGGAGGTTGCAGTGAGCGGAGATTGTGCCACTGCACTTCAGCCCGGGCAATAGAGTAAGACTCCTTCTAAAAAAAAAAAAAAAGCTGAATATAAGAAGAGGGAGGAACAAGGGATAAACTTCTAATGAGTCCAAAGCCAGAAGTATGATGAGAATAAGGGAGTGAGAGAACTTCCCTTATAGGAAGAGAGTGCCTTGTTATTCTGTGGTAGGCACTGCACACATTAGTATAATAGCTGTCTTTTCTTGAGTATAACTCAATGTCTGCAGAAAGGCTAAGCATTTTATCTACATAATTTCATTTAATCCTCCGTATATATCACAACTCTAATTTTACTGATGAGAAAACTGAGGCTTGGTGAGGTTGAATGTATCGCTCACACTTTTGCAGCTAGGAAGAAGGAACTCCAACTATCTGATGAAGCAAATGGCCGTAACTACTAAGCTAAGTGATGTCAATCTCTATCTTTTTGTTATTGGAGAACAATGCATGACTCCTGTATCCTTTTTTTGTGAGTTGATAACCCAGAGCCAGTTTTATTAACTCATTCAGTGCTGTAAGATGAAGTCCACATCCCCTAGAGTGACACAGGAGGCTGATCAGAGTCCATCCCACACCCTCTTCTCTACATTCATCCTCCCACAGCCTCTGCTCCTGCTTGCCTCAACTATTTTCAACTTCACTGAATGCACCACGGCAGCTTTGTACTTGGTGTCGTGTGGGTCGGTGATGCCCTGTCTCCTCTTCTCCTCCTGTCTGGCTCCTCCAAGTCCTTCAAAACTGAGAGTGAGTATTACCCCCTTTCCCCTTTTCTGAGCTGAAAACAGTGAACATACTATTGCCTTTCACACTGGGTAGGTCTAGGTCTAGGGCCTCTGTGCAGACCTCCACCATAACTCTTTACCCCCCACTCCCCTGCCCCCATCACATCAAAATTCTGTGATGCTGACTGCTTGTCCATTGCTCATTTCACAAGCTCACAGCCCCTTCTCTTTTGTTTAGTATTTCACTATCTGGAAGGACCCAGAAATAAGATAGAAAAAGAGGTGTTAATACTGGTTAGTGATGGACATTGGTAGTAGCCCCAGGAATGCCTGGCTTGTACCTCTAAGTACAAGTCTGGTTACCACAGCACCCTTTTAGCAGCAGATTATTTTTTTTTAATGTAGCCAATAAATTCAAGATATCTGTGGATATCAAGGAACAAAACATCTATTATCTAGTAAAACAATTTTTTGACACTCACCTTTGTAATTCAAAAATTAAAATGACCGTAGCTACGGTTGCTTTATATTAATTGCGTTCTCATTTGTAGTGTGGGTCGCTCAGCAGGGTGGTGAGTGTTTTCGTGGATATGGATTGGATGCCAATTAAGAAGACTTTGGGTTTCAGTTTTTCTGTGGGTGTCTGGAGAAGTATTTTTCTGAGCTTCTAATTCTTTATGTGTGAAATGGCAGTAGTAGGAGAGCCTCCCCGCATTGTTTGAGAGGCCAAATAACAGCATGATTGTGAAAAGCCCTTTGTAAACTGTAGCATGTTTTAGGGAAAAAAAAAAAAAAAAAAAAAAAATGGTGGTGATATTTTCCAGAGTGTTAGAGGAACTTATACAACACAGGCCTGCCCCTGTTTGACCTGGAAATGCTAGTTCAGGGAATGCATTAGCAACACAGCAGGAAACTTCGGCAGAGAAATCCTTTTGAAAACAGAGACTGCATCCTCCAGAATGAACGAGAAATGGCAAACCAAACCTCACAGAGATTGTCCTTGAAAGATGGAAAATTAACTAGGTACTGTCGGGGGCGGGAACGTGGATGGCGGCGCTGGACGCCCCGTCTTCAGCCTCCTGACGCTTTCCTCCCCCAAAGCCATTTTAGTCAAAGGTCATGTGTGTGTCTTGTCAAAGGCCAGCTTCCAATGGAATCATTGTCCCCCGGGACAGCGGCCCCCTGACTACATCTGCATTGGAGAAATCCCAAAAGCAAACTGCCCAGTGCAAACAAGAGCAGTCTGCAGCAGCCGCCCCGGGCCCAGCTCGCAGGTCGCGGGGCTGCAGCCGAGGCCGCGTTCGCAGAGCCCGGGCCGGAGCAGGCGCCGAGACGCCCGCAACATGACCCGCCGCGCCTATCGGGTACGGTATACGCCCCTCTCTACCCGTCCTCCATTGCTTGGGCTGTCGGGTCACAGCTGCCATTCTGTCAAGCGGAGAAACCTTGCGAAGGGCCTCCAGATTTGCCGGAAAGCGGTCCCTGTTGGGCTGCGTTCCCGTGCACTCAGCTGGAGCAATTTACAGGCGCGCAAATGGGGAGTTTAACTCATTTCGAGTTTTCGTTGCCAGAGAATGGGCTTGTAAATATCGAGTTTGTCTCTGGTTTCTGTAAAACAACTTGCAGAGAGGGACTGTGGAGGACTCTCGGTTCACCCCGGCTCCGGACCGTGCAAGTGGCGACCTTCAGCCGTACCAGCCGCGGGGCACGGCGAGCTCGGCCTTCCTGGGCGGCGAGACGGCCCGGCTTCTTGTTGATTACCTGTGGGACAGGGGCTTGGCAAGAGGTACAGGGATTTTTAAAACAATATATTTAGTAACGTCCTCTGGACTCCCACCTGCCTCCTGGAGACAGAATCATCTTCCTGACGGAGGAAGCCCTTCCCCACCGCGTGCCTCTGTTCACAGAGATGTTGACTGACGTGCACACTTCAGCGCGGCCAGTGTCTCTGCCCTTTGTCCTCTTCTGTTTGAACAGGCCTTTCAAATGAATCTGGCTAATTTTGGATTAGGATAGAGGGAGCCTGGGGTGGCAACCGATTATGGGTGCTTTTGATCTGGAGTTGGAAATCTCCAAGGGCAAACGCTGGGGAGCGTCCGCTGGGGCCGCAGGCACAACCGGCCTTCAGGTGTGGAGCGGGGGTCAAAGGGTTCCAGTGATTGCTTCCATACTCTGGTTTCATTTTAACAAGTGAAGCGCAAGCCGCTTCTCACTGATAGAGGGAATGGAAACAAAAGCCGTTCTAGTGCCCAGCAGGATGGAGAGGGGACCCGATTTGCTCATGTATTTATCACATACCCAGTTCCACAGAGCACAGGAGGTTTTCCACACTTCTGCTCAACGGGTATTTAATGGAGCTTCCGGTTTCCCCTGCAGTGCTCACCTCTGGCTGTCACCTCAGTTTTCTGCTCCTCTTCCCACCAACCTCCTTGAAAGAGTGGGTGGCATTTGCTGTCTCCTTGTCCTCACTACCCATTTGCTCCTTCACACCCAGTCACCTGGCGTCTGCCCTCACCACTGAGGGCCAACCTTTGGCAAGACCACTGAAGACCTCCTTGTAAAAAAACCATAGAGCATTTTCAACTTCACCCCCCTCCCATGTACACATACAGTCTCTGTGTCATTTTGAACAATTGGTCCTTTCCTCTCTGTTTCTGACTGTCCCAGATGCTGCAATCCTATGCTTCCCTCCTTCTCTTCTGACCGTCTTTAGTTACTATTTAATACTTAAAGGGCTTCATTTCATAAATGTCAGTGTGCACTGATCTTTCTTCTTGACTCTCTTCCCATGTCATCCTTGTCATATCGCTCTGGATGACCTCATTCACTCCAGTGGCTTCAGCCACTACATATACATGGTGTTTCCCAGACCTAGTCTAATCATTGGCCTCAAATTCCAGTCTCCACTTTGATGTTCCACAGAGCACCTTAAAATCAGCAAGTTCGGACCTAGATCTGTCTTCTCCCTTCTTCTCCCAGGCCTGCTCTTCCTCTCCTCTTTGCTACTGCTTAAATGACATTTCCCAAGTTGTCCAAGTCGGACACAACGGAATCGCCCTAGGTAACTTCTTCCCTTTCATTCGTGCCAATCATCATCAGGCACTGTCTACTCTCCTTGCTGAGCATAATTCATACACACCTGTGTTTCCACCTCCCCTACCACTGTTGTAATTAAGGCCAGTACTCCCTCAAATTCCATTCTGGTCACAACTTTTCATTAGTCTCATTTGGGGCCAGTCCTGCCCAGCCCATACCTCCATCTTGTCTCCACACTGTGTCAAATGATCTTTCTTTTCCTTTTATTTTTCTTTTTTTGAAATGAAGTCTTGCTCTGTTGCCCAGACTGGAGTGTAGTGGTGCCATCTCGGCTCACTATAAACTCTGCCTGCCAGGTTCAAGCAATTCTTCTGCCTCAGCCTCCCAGGTAGCTGGGATTACAGGTGCCCGCCACCATGCCTGAGTAATTTTTTATTTTATTTTTTATTTTTAGTGGAGACAGAGTTTCACCATGTTGGCCAGGCTGGTTTTGAACTCTTGACCTCAAGTGATCCGCTTGCCTCAGCCTCCCAAAATGCTAGGGCCATGCCCAGGCTGTGTCAAATGGTCTTTCTAAAATGCAATATGATCGTGCAGTTCTTTTTTGAAAAGTCTTCAGCAGATTCCCATTTTTTTCTTTCAAGAACAATTTTGGCATATACAGGTTCTCCACCACTTGCTTTTCACCTTCATTTTCATTGTTATTTCTTACTGCTCAATCCCTCTCCACATTTTATAAACCATTTTTGTATATTTTATATAGATGTTTGTCCACAACATATGTGAATTTAGGCATGTTAAACTATTTATTAAATAAGACTTTCTTCCTGTATTTCTGTGAGGTCTGGGTCTAACCTTTATCTTTCTTTAGACCCAGTTGAGAGCCTGGTTCTCTTGGAAACTCTGCAGGTCTTCCTCTAGAATGGGTTAGGCGACCCCCTCTTATTTTCCCAGAGCTTCCTTTATTCCTGTGGATCAGAGCACTTACCATTCTTTATTACAACTATCTATTTACTTGCCCACCCACAGCAATTCTTAGGGATCAACTCTTTTTGTCTTAGTATCATTAGAGTTAGTGCTTAGACCAAGCTGGGATGCTCAATGAATTTTTGTGCAATTCTTGTGAATGACTATTATGTGTAAGCATTGAATTAAATGACAGATATACAGAAGCTTTACAGAAAATTATCATTTATAATATAATAATATGCTAAGGAATCTTTATTCCTAAAAACATAGTTTTCCACTTATTTAGCAATGGCAGGGTTTAGACTTTCTGGATATTTGAGAATAATGCCTCAAGTCCCCGGGTCTATCAAGTCCCTCTGTAATTCACATCTCAACAGGTGGGCTTCTCCTATTGCTATTGCATCTATCCTAATTTTCCCCAAGGAAGAGCTGCAAGAAAGGCCTTTTGCAGTTTTACCTCTGTTGACTTTGTGAAGATAAAGGAATCCTCTTTAGGCTGGAATCTGGCATGAGACAAGGGCACTAAAGGCCTAGATAGGTGGGCTTCTAAGAGTCCATTGATAAGCTTGCCCCAGAGAAGGCACCCAGAACCTCAGAATGGGCCAGTGCGCAAGCCCTCTAAAAACTCTTTCGAAAGTGATGGAGAATTTGGGATGCGAGAGAAAAGAAAATGCAATTGATTTCCTAAAGAGAGAGATTTGTGTAATCTACACCTTCAGACAGAGAGGTGAATGATGTTTAAGTTTGCTGGGAGTTATTTAAACTTGAAGTTGTTCTCAAACTGTTAGAGACCAAGGTTCTTTTCAGGCGTGGATGCACACTACTTGTCTCAGAAAAAAATGCAGGATACACCACCTATTGCACTTTGTAAGAACTTTCAGTGGGTTCGTTACAAGTCAACCCAGAGACTCCTTTGAGTTGTAGTGAACCTCCAGTTAGGAATCTCTAATAAAAGGGATAATAATTCCGCAGCTATTTGGGAGAGTGAAGTAGGTGGTGAGTAGTGGAGCAAGCATTAGTCAAATTACGCATGTTTTCTTTTTTGAGAGGATCCCAGTATAATGTGTGCTAATGACCATGAACTTGGAGTCACAGGACCTGGGCTTACATCCTTGTGCTGGCAATTGCTACCTGCGTAATTTTCTGTGAGATGGTTTTATTATCTATTAAAAAAGGATAATAGGTGCTGGAAGATTTAACTAAAATAAAGTATGTGAACACATCTGGAACATGGTTTTACTCAATACACTTAATCAGTTCACAACATTGATTTCAGGAAGGCACAGACTGTGATCTTCTTCTGGATTAGAAACGTGCACATGGATTAATGACTTGTGGAATGCATGTATTAAAGGAGAGCTGATTCATGGATGGATTGACATGTGAATGTCTGTAGTGGCATGCTACTGAGCTCTGTCTTCATTCCTGTTTATTCAACATCATTTATATCTATAAAGGCATAACATAAGGCTCCCATTTGCTAATAGAAAAGGCACAAGGATTAGGAGTCCCAAAGTTATCAGTAAGTTATCATCTGTTTTGACTTTTAGTTTTTTGGGTGTGTGTATGCAGAGACAGATATAAAAAGTCTTATATATGGATTCCAAAAGTCAATTGCAAATTATTAGGCATGTGTATATGTCTATGACAGAAGGGGATGGGAAGGAGAGGGAAAGGGAAAGGGAGATTGAGAAAGAAAGAGACAGAGGAAAAGACAAAGTTAGAAGTGGCAGCTTTGTATAGTTAAGGTTTAGAGATTTAAATGGATGATAGAATCAACAGTGATATGTTTCTTTTAAAATAAAGTTTTGTTTTATTAAAAGAGATCTAGAGGCTGGGCACATTGGCTCATGACTGTAATTCCAGCACTTTGGGAGACCAAGGTGGGCAGATCATGAGGTCAAGAGATTGAGACCATCCTGACCGACATGGTGAAACTCTGCCTCTACTAAAAATTCAAAAATTAGCTGGGTGTGGTGGTGCATGCCTGTAGACCCAGCTACTTGGGAGGCTGAGGCAGGAGAATCACTTGAACCCATGAGGAGGAGGTTGCAGTGAGCCGAGATCGTGCCACTGCACTCCAGCCTGGGTGACAGAATGAGACTTCATCTCAAAAATAAAAGGGGCTTTAGAGTATAGAACATGAGACATGATAGTCACTGTACTCTGTATTGTTCAGACCATACTTAGAACTATTATCTAGTTCCAGGTGCTATACATTAATTTATTAGCACCTGTGTTGTTTATTACTATTTGAGCACCTACCATGTGACAACCACTGTGCTAGATATTGAAGACCACAGTGCCGAAGAAGACCTGATCTCATGGTATTTACGATGGAGCAGAGGTGTTAGATGAG